TTGAACTACCTCAATATATAAGTAATTTTTGGTAGTTCTCTATCTCACTTCCCCAGCCCGCCTTTCCCTGCCAATCCTTGGGAATTGTATAAAACTACCTTGCGTTCTTGGGGTGTTAGATCCTCTTGGAATGAATAAAGGAGGGAAGCTGCTTTTGTGTCTGTCTGTATTTAAATCTGCCAGGTGAAGAGCCAGTGTTGTGTCCCTACTGTCCCTTTCCTGCCCTAATTTCCCATGTTGTTCTACAAACCTGGAAAAGAACACAGTTTGTATAAAGCTTTTTTTGTTGATTAATATACAGACTCTTTTTCCCCTTTTAGAAATAGCTGCACTACCTTATTTTAACTTTCAAATTTTCTAACATGTGAAATAAAAAGATACATCTAAGTAACTGAGTCTGATTTGAAAATGCTCTGTACCAGTACAGGTCCATAGATGAAAACATTTGAGTTTTACTCCAGATACTCCTAATTAATTGCTGTAGTAATTGTTCAGCCTTTCTCCTGCTATCACTTGTTACAAGTATCCTTCAGTGTAGCTATTTCATGATTAATGTCAAAAAAGTTCCGAAAAAGAACATGAGAACTGCGCTTACCAACTTTTGACAGCGTTATGCTTGTGCTCATCCTAATGTGATAGTTCTGTAGGTACTTATGGGAGGCTTATGGAACTGCTGCTGGGGAGGTGATGTGACATCTTTCTGGGTCTGCTGCCCAAATGTTAGTGACAACGTGCTGGAGAAAACGGGACTGTTCAGTATGACGTGAAAGGAATTGTCAGTCCACTTTGGATTAGTCTTTCCAGTTGAACTGCTAAGTGTTAAGCACATATTTTGGGAATCAATGCACAAGTAAATGTGAGGAGTTGAAGTAAGATTCTGTTGTCTCTGTGAGTAATCTTTAGGCAAGGCTCATTAAAAGAAAACACAGTAAATATTCAGGCAAAAAATAATCTGCTCTTAGTTTCACATGTTGAAAATTCTCCAAGCGAAGCTGTCTTACATAAAGAAAGAATAGTAAAAACTATTTCAGTTTAGTGCAAAACTAGTCTGCCTCTTTGCTAAGTGAGTGGGTTGGTGTGGGTTTTTTCTTTTTCTCTTTTGTTTTTTTAAAAATTATGGTAAAGAAAGGTGCTGACACCAGGTGATGTATGAGGGAAAGAAGTGGAAACTGATTGCACTCCAGAGGGTGATACTAAAATGCTACTTCGCTGGACTGGTGTGCTGCCAGAAGTAACTCTGTAAACTCTAGTTCCAGGCACAAACATGATTGGAAGGGTTTTGTTTCAAACATTCTCTCATTCCTTTGGGTTTTTTTGTTACAAATTTCAAACTTCTGTTTCCTGAATTGAGTTGCAATGTAAATCTAAACTTACTGCAAATTCTGTAAAGAAGGTGAGGTGAGGTGGGTGTGTGCTATAATAGCCGCCTAGTTCAAAATAGAAAAAGTTTTAAAACTTGGAATTTAGCAGAACAGTAAAAGAACAAGAGTAATCACTAGATTACCTACTCAGTTCAGTGTTTTTCTGACCAAGGCTGAGGAGAGAGGTCCGTCTTGGAAAGCTAGAAGGGAATCCGTGTCCAATTATGAGTAGAAAGAAGAGCAACTGAATGGTTAGAGCACTTAAGTATTTGAACTTAAGCAGAAGTTGAATCCAGTACTTCAGTTACTTCTTCAGTGTTTTGGAGAGTAATTGAGAATGAGGTTTTGTAGCATTTCAATGGCTTTTAGCTAAGGAGCGGAAGTGCAGTAGTGGCTTTCAGATGAAAATTTTTACTTGGGACTGAGGAAGACGACCAAAGCATCAAACACATGAAAGAAGTAAATCATACAAATTCTCCACCTTAAAGACCTTGTGCTGCAATCTCAAGGATTGTGGTGATAGTGTTCTAGTTTCCACAATGCACTGTGATGAGTTCAGTAGCCTTTGGTTACTGGACTGTGTTAACTGCATCATATATGAATTATCCTCAAAATGATTACTGCTGCACTTTACATCTGATCTTGCAACTAAGTTGTGAGGTGAAGAGATCTGGCCTGCTGGGTTCAGGGACTTCATTTTGTATTTTGGCAGTACCTTTGAGTAGTCTTTTCTTAAAGTTTGGAGGAATAGGTAGTCTTAGGCCTCTTGGTTTGGCGTACTATAAAGGCTAAAAACCAAAGAGTATTCTTGTATATTTTATTTGATGTGCCTTTCTTACTCTCTGAAAGAACAGTTCTATGTTCCTGTAATTGCCACTGTTTCCAACAGTAGCTAAACCCACAAATGGATGGCAATAGCATAAACACAAGGGTTGCCTTGCAGGTTATGAATACTGTTGCTGTAGCTGTGTTGCTCTAAGGATATAAACAAGACAAAGGTTTTATAAGGACAGGCACTATCTTTTATTAGATCAACTGCTGCAGTGGCAGGGAACAGGGCACAGGCAAACTTTTAGACATCCAAGTGCTGAGTTCCTGAGAAAGTTACTCAATTGTTTGGAGACACCATGTGGAGGTTTTGTACTCTGTGGATTGTCACAGGCACGTTGCAGATACAGGTAAATGTTGCTGTGTTATTTTTTATACATAACTCATAGTTTTGATGCCTGACCTAGTAGCAAGATATGGTCCAATTCTTATTTCAAAGAATAAGGAATTAGGTGCTTTATAACAGGTTAGCAGCTATAGGATGTTGTTTAAATGGCCACTTGTTTTTGCATTACTCTGCAAAGATGACGTCTGCATGAAGGATGTGGAGATTGCTTTGCAGAGAGCACTGTCAAAAGGTAAACCTGTGAAAATGTTTCTCAAATGTTACTGTTCCTGTGTAAAGCATGATGATGTATTTTCCTTTGAAGCATCTGACTACTGGAGATCACTGGGGGGAAAAATGCTTGGAATGCCTTGTTTAAAGAGTTCATTTTTGTTATTTTTGTGGTGACATGGTCTGGGTCACTAGTGTGGCTTTTGTATAGTAAATCTGTAAGATGCAGATAGTGTATTGCACTGCAAGGGTTGCATCTTTAGATGTGACTAATGCTTAATAATACTTAATAGTAGGATTTTATTTTTGCCCTGTTGAAATCCCTAGTTACTCATCACGCGATAGAGGAGTGTACAGTTAAGCCAGTTCTGAGTCCTCTGAATATCTTGCCTTAGATTCATATATATCCTTTTCTTAGGGCAGATGGTTGCAAAACAAGGAACTTCTCCTCTTGCACTGCTCCCTGCCTCAACAACAAAAAGAAAACACTGTTCCTTATATGTTCTGTTAACCTCTGTGTGCTACCTGTGCAGGTGTTTGCTTGTTTGGGTTTTCCAGTACTTGATGCACAATCTTCACCTACAATAAGGTATCAGATTTCTATCCAGTCCATTCTGTCTCTCACTAGTTGTGAATAAAGAGGAAGAGAAGTGACTGTATGATAAGAGAAATCTCTGTCTGTTTTGAACTGGGAGGTGTTTGTTACCTTGTTCATCCATAGTTTATGGCTTTCTTAATAAAGCCTTCATAATGTCTTTCCTTAACTTGTTCCTCTAAGTAAATTGCATGTATTTTATAAGTGCTGTTAGGATGAAGTCTGTCAGTGTAACTGTTAGGAATGCTTTCAGATTTGGTGACTTGAGTAGTGGCAGTCTCAGTATTCAACATCCATATATTTGAAATCTCCCATTTTTTCCTCCTGGATTGAACAGAACTCCCTCTCCTCAAGTACATCTGCAATTGGGGTAAGTGTAGGCAGTGGACTCATCCCAAAGCCCAGTCATTAGATATTTTGGTTGTAACTCTCAGGGAGCTTACCATGGTTTCGTGTGGGAATGGAGAGGCTGTTTAAAAAAACAGCAAAAAAACCAAAAACCCGAGAGGATTCTCTCCAATTTGTTGATGCATATTTTCATATAACTTATGATGTATCAATTTCCAAACCACCTGAGTGACTGTAATTTTCTTATTCTTCAGGGCACAAGAAAAAATTTTATGCAGCTCATACTGTCTGACAAAAAACTTTCTTTCCCACAAAGAGATACACAGTTTAAGTGTCCATATATAGTTTATCTTCAGAATTCATAACAGATCTTAAATTCAAAGTAGTTTGGGTTGATGCTCATTTTTATTTTTTTTTTAGAAACAAAACCAGTCCCTTAAACAAAACAGAGCAAAACCATTTAGAAATAAAGCCACAGGCTTTTCTTCTAGAAGTTTCGTGCCTTGATTTTTTTTTTTTTTACATAGTATGACAGAAATAGTGTATAAAATGATGAAAATGTTTCGCACTTAAGAATGGTCTGAGAACTTTTTCTTGGTCATAACTATAGAATTAAAATGCTACTGGCCATATGCATTGCAGCAGTTAATATTCTCTCGGTAGCACCATACCCTAAAACTGTTTAAATGTAGAGAATCACTTTAAAACAGAGTGAGTGTTAGATATAGCATCTTGGGTAGATTGGTGACAAGGGTAAGAGTTTTATGCCATGGATTTTCTGTTTCTCAGGAAGACTGGGGTTAATTGTGGCTTGGCAAGTAAAAAAAAAAAAAAAAGTTCCATATTGTTTTTCTGCAGTAGATTCCTGTTGCTATGCAACAAACAGAATGTCACTTAGTACAGGATATATTAAATTGGTATTCCCGGCACATATCTCTGCCCGTTCATTTTATACTTTAACAGGAGGGTATGGTTCTGGCTTCCTGTAGGACTGTAGTATGAAGTATATATTTGAGCTTCTATTCTGGTGCTTGCTGTAGCTGCGGTGACGTCAGTGCACTTGCAGAGCCTTTCTTTGTTTTCGGCTGGATGGGACACCTGTGCAACACAACCAGGCTTCCAAACAGACAAAAAGGGGTGGTGGTTATCTTTCCCTGTGGTGGGTTGGTATTGCCAAGCAACATGTTAACACTTCAAAAGGGAGAAATTTCTTAGAGGGAAAAAATACTAGGCTGTGAATTCTGAAAACCTTTGTGTGTGATGCTGAGAAAATTAACGCAGATGGCATTGTATGAATCTTTAAACCAAAAGATCCAGTAATTTTGTAATTATTAGAATCAACTTTGATATTTGAATATGTTGATACTTCCTCTCCCTACCTTTCTGTTCCCCCCCCAGTGCTAAAACCAACCAATCTCAGCATCTGAACTCTTTAGATTTGCTCTTGATGGATTCTAGAATAGATGTTTAGGGCGTGTTTGGGAAAATTACTCTCTATGGCTCTGGAACCAGTAATTAAGTAATGGACAAATGACAACATCTGGTAAGGCATTATTTTATAATCTAGTTAATCTTCTGTAGTAGAGAAGAAGACAAAAATGATTTGAAAGCTAGAAGGATGTTAATTTGATCTTTGCCTCAAAGTCTGTCATGCAGTATAGATGTCTGAAATACAGAAACTTGAAAGCTGGGGATTTGTAATACTGTGCTTTTAGAAAGCATGCATTGTGTCTTACATGCCATCATATTTATACTGTGTAATGACCCATCTTATTTTAAGCAATTCTGTGGATTTTGAAAGCCAATTTACAAAAATCTTATCTGAAATTAAGTTAGGAACTAAAATTAGCAGGTCAAACGCTTGCCGCTGTTTCTGCTCTTAGAACTGAAAGATGCCATTGTCTACCATCTCTTTAAATTGTCAGTCTGAAGCAGGTTTGAAAGTAGCTGGTTTTTAAAATACTGTAGTAAATGTATTTATGTGTGGTTTCTTAAAGCAGAAATCAAAAGGAAGAATAAAGTTTGGAAAGATTTAAAACACTTCTCAGTACTGTACTCTTGCTTGTTTTGCCAAGGGGGTGCCTCTAATCTATAAAGCATCATTGAGCAAACAGCCTTTAGTAATACAAATTTCTTTCTTGTAGTCTGATGCCTAATTCAGACCTCAATGCAGGGAGTTCTGTGCCTGTTCTTAAGCAGACCCAGTAAAAAGCATTCCTCTGTGTACAGAAAGAGAACTTGGTATAACTTAAAAAATTCTTATGGCATTTGGTGAGATCAAACCTGAGTTCCGTCACAGAGAAATGATTTAAATACATGGATGGGGATGCTTGGGGGCTTTTTGCTCTCTGTTTTGGGAAGAGGAATCTTTGCTTCTGTTGCGCAACTGTTTGGAATGAGTAAACTGCTTGTGGCTTTCAATGCTATGATGACTTGTTTTAATTTTATCTTTTGACACAGGAAACAGTAGGAATTTGTAAAACTGTCTCTACTTCTTAAGGAGGTAGCAGAATGTAATTTAGTTGTGAAGTTAACAGATTTATCTGTAACTTTAATGACATGAACTTATTTTAATGTGTAGATAGAGAAGTTCTAGAATATACACGGGAAATCAGGAAACTTGAGATTAAGTTATAAGTAGTGTGTTGGTGGGCTACTTTGGTAAGTCTTAAAGGAACTCAAAGTAGAAAGTGGATGTTCTAAAAACACTGATTGTAGGGCAAAGAGCATTTAAAAGTTAAGCTCAGGTGCTGTGGTGCAATAAATAGGGCTGTAACAAAATGGTCAGCTTTTCATATCCATCATCTTCCTCCCAAATTGAAAATAAATTGTGATACTGGTAGTCCAAAGTTCTGTTTGGGGGTTGAAAAGAAATCAATACATTCTTCATGTATGTGTGACCAGTGACACCAGCCTGCTAGCTCTTGGTCATTAATTAATACCTGTATGCATATACTATATGCAGAATTATGTTAAAAAGGATGTCGAAGCATGTGAATGATTATATGCTATTTTTTCCTCCCCTACAATAGAGACTGGATTCTGCTTTGTAGAAAGAAATAGATTGGGGTTTGAAGGTTGCTTTTCTTTTTGTTTTAGGTTATCTTTCTCTGTTGCAGGGGTTAGAAAGTCTCTAATGAGTGACATAGGGAACTGCTTGAAGATAAGATGGTTTCATGGACTCAGCTCAGTGTTTTCTGCAAGAATGACTGCTTTTTATTTTTCAAAGAATTTCTGTCCTTTGGTGCTGACTGAGTTGTTCAGAGTTGTCAGTGGTGTTCGTTAGCTGTGTCCTGACTTGTTATCTTGCTGACTAACTTAAGTCTGTGGGCCCAATCTGTCAAAATATTAAATTATTCAGCATATACCTTTGTCCTTTAAAGCACAGAGAACATTATATGGCCGCTAAAGACAAAGAGGGCCCTAGATCATCTTGGATTAAATGATCAGCATCAGAAGGCTTGGTGCACCAGTTGTTGTGCTTCAGCTCTCCAGTGGAGGAAACAACTTCCCGTCTTTAATTTCCAACTTTTGCTTATTTCTTAAAAAGAAGCATGTTCAAGTTTAAAGCTCTCAAATGATCTGTTTTATGACACTGTGCTTAAACTGCGAATAACTACTGAATTTGGTATTCAGAACAAGTTTTGATTAATGTGCAAAAAACGTCACTACACATTGAATAATGAAGAAACCTACTAGCTGTTCGTTTACTCCTCAGTTCATCTATCCTAAGTCAGAGGCAGTCTGAGAAAAAAGGTGGGAGGGGTGAGAGGAGTAAGTATATAACTAAGACTTTTTAATGGTTTTACAACTGTAAGTCACTCCTTCCTTCATATATAAGCAGCCAGAACTGTTAGTCGTTCTCAACTCTTGTAATTTTTTTAACCATAATACAGTGTAATTTCTCGTGTTCTTTAAAAGTTGAAATACTAAGCCAAACATAATGTGCCGTGATATTTGAAATACGCATAGATTTGGAACAGCTAGATTGTCAGCCGCGTGTTCTCCCTAAAATCACTGTAACTTTTGGTAGTTCTTGTCTTATTAGTAGAGCATGCACATGCAGGAAGCTGAAACTGTGATTATGGCAAGGTGTGCTTACCAGACAGGAACACTAGGTCCTGGAATCTATGGTCTCCTTGTACTATGCTTAATCAGAATTGCTAACTTCAACCAAGCTAAGATCCATCAGTAGTTATCTGCCAGTTTTTAAGATAGGACTGGGACACTTAATTCGTTGTTCTAGTAGGTTAGACCAGGTGGCTTTTTCTGAAGATACTTCAAATTGGTCTAAATTGATCTCTGTGTTGTCTTATATAATGGGACAGTCCTCTTTGGTGACTCCTTTTAGATACTCAGAGGTGCAACTGGTCTATAATGATGATGAAATGGTCACTTTTATGTGTTTTGGCTACGTGGCAGATGTAGGCCTGGTTATTAAGGAAGGAGGTGTTGCAGTACCCTCTGAGGAGTGAGGAACAGGTTTTCAAAATAACTGTACATGTTCTCTGGCTATATCTTTGTAGGGTCTGGGGAAGATGATGCCAGGGACCAGTATGGTCAGACAGATCTTTTTCCTGCAGACTCTGGTCTGTAGACTGCAGTCACCTCTATCAGGAAACTGAATTATGTTTGGAGTTTGTCTGACTATGTGATTTCATCTTGCTGCATGCTCACTAACTGTGGACAGTACAGAACAGTTTATTCTCTCCAAAGCTACATCTAGTGTATATGAGGCTTCACGTTTCTCGTAAGTCTTTTCAAGATTAAAATCACCAATTTCATTAATATCTCACTGTGATCTGTTTTTAGACATCCTGCCAGTTGTTACTCTCCACTTGGTCTACATAATTTGGAAGCTGAGGCTGATTGTTGTCCCGTCTGTCATGTACTGATTTGCATCTGTTCATTGGAACGTATCTAAATGTAGACCTGAACTTTTTTTCTCCAGGCACTTTTCTGGTATGCCAGTATTATTCAGAATTCTTACCCTACTTGCTTGCGTCTTCTTCTGTGTTTTTGTCCTCTCTGATGATAGCAAGCATATTCTTCCATCTCTTTATTGTTCTGCTGCAGCACAGGCATTGCAAAACTGCACTCCATATAATTTCTCTGAGTGTAGCATTGATAGCTGGTGTCTGAATATGGTTTTCAAAACTCCTTTCTGCTCTCCTTACAATAATTTTTGTGTATATATCTCTCCTACAAAAATGTCCTATGAATTCTGTCAAGAACCTATACTAGAAGTCATACTACAGTGTCTGCTATTTCTGTATGATAATAAGAATAGGACTCCAGAAGAACTAGAGGAAACTAAACTTATCTGACGTTATTAGTTCATAAGTAGCATTGAAGATGTATTTGTTATTTTTTAGCAGGTTTTCACTGGTGTTTTTCTTGGGAGTGAAGTTAAACGTAAGTTCTTTACGTTCTTTTCTGACAGCTTGCTTCCTCTCCCATTCAGAACCTCTGCTCTGGATGTAACACTGAGCCACGGGCTTCTGCAAACCTGACTGACATCCCTCCATGGTCTGAGGTTCTGAACACCAGCTGAAAACATGGTGGTAATAGTTTCAGGGGAAATTTTGCTGAGTGTCTCCTCAGCTTGGAATTGAATCTGTTCAGCGTAAGCCAAACAACTGCAGTCTCCTGAAAACCGAGGCTCGTAGCCATGACATTCAGAGTTTTCTCTTAGGGAAAAGATACATAGTAAATGCAGACACAAAGTACAGGAAAAAAGTCATCTGTCGTAGTTGAAGCTTTCAGATTTTTACGCAGTTGAGAACATGGGCTTTGTAAAAAGCAGCGTGGAGCAATCTGTTGCTAGTATCACTGATAGTATCATGGAGAAAAGACTAAAGCTTAAAGAATGAGAATGGTATCAGCTTCCTTGGTAATGCTTGGGGGTATGGTGTTGAGAAGGATTACCCTCTTGGGATCCAAGCAGGATATAACAGTTTATGGGGCAAGATGTTGGGCTACAACCTACTGATAATAACCTAAGAGAGGGGAGGAGGTTGGTTTTGCGGGAATAACCCTCTTTTTACCATAAACTCGTTTTGCTATAGCTACACAATTGCTGCATGCTTCAGGTTTCATTCCCTTACCATGGTACTGGGGTGTTGCAGGCGCCTGATTAAAATCCTTTCAGTCAGACCCAGGCTGTTGTTTGCTGCAGTGGATTGTGGCAGAGTTCTGTGCTGAATCTTAAACTTGCTCTGACTTTCAGGAGAAACTCCAGGTTTTCATCAGAATGAGTTATATTGTCCTAACAGGAATCTACATAGTCTAGAAACCTTGAAGAAAGTCTAATGCATTCGAGAGTATTTTGTGACCTGTGGTCAGTCTGTTCTTCTACAGTGTAAAAGCCAATCGTTTTTCTAAAACAAAATGTTTTACGTGAAAATAAATCTCTGATTGAAGAAGCTTTGTTCTTTACAATGAGAGTTAATTTTGCTGAGATGTAACTAGCAGTACTCAAGGCTTCTGCACCTGGCAAAAGTACTACCTGAAAAGACAGGTGGTATTGCCTCCTTTGTACAC